TGCTTTTGCAGTTGAATATGCGGCACCTGGAGTGACTTTAGGTTTATTGGGTAGAAATGAAGGTACATTCATTATATCAGCAATAGTATAATAATAATAATAATAATAATAATAAATTAATAATAATGTTTTATATATAGCACGATTAAATCAAGTAGCAGAACATTGCAAAGAAAAAGGAGCAAATTGTGTTTTATTGAAAGTGGATATTTCAAACATTGAAGAATTGAAAAAAAGTTTAGAAAACTTTGATGATTCCCATCCAATTGAATTGCTGTTTTCAAATGCAGGTATATAACTATTACCATTATTATGTAAACGGAATTACGTAATTTGCGCCATGTCTCTTTATATTTATTTATAAGATTTAAAAAACAATATAGCTCAAGCAGGTTCTACTAGAGATAATATTGATACTGTTCCATGGGAAGATGGATGGCAACGATTGATTGATGTCAACTACACCGGCAATATTGCTACTATAATGACAGTTTATAAAAGAATGAAAGGAAGAAGATTTGGGCAAATTGCAGGTAAAAAAAAAATAAATGAATAAAATATTAGAAATTAAAAAAATTAAAAAATTTACTAATCATGATAAAAAATTCTATTACAGTAACATCATCTATAGCTGGTTTTTTCAGCATACCAGGTCTCTGTTATTACAATGCAACAAAATCAGCATTAATATCATTTGCACGAGATCTTCGTTACATAGCATCTTTTGATAATGTAAAAGTGTCTGTGATAGCACCTGGAATAATAAAAACGAACATGACTCGAAATTCTGATCTATCTTCTAATAAATTTTATGGGCCTGGTGATCCTAACGGTTTGGCCAAAATCGTTAGAAATCAGTTGAATTCTGACACTTTTTGTATTGGCTGGCCTTTCCGTCAATATTTATTGAGTTGGCTTATTTCAAGTATTCCTGTTAGAACGAATTTGACTCTTTCTCGGATTTTTGGAGAATCGTCTCGAAAAAAGACTAAACTCGTTGCATCATCGTAATGATGATGCAAATGATGAGATTAATAAATATTTTTCCGCCAAAAAAGGCAAAAAAATTTTTTTGTACAATGGGGGTTACAATGTTGTAGGATCGCATATTTATTATTTTAAATCATTTTTAATATTAATTGATTAATAAATCAGAGATGTTGAAAAAAAACCATGTTAAAACTTCAAATCATTCTAAAAACAATAATCATCAAAAACGATGTCTAAAGAACAAGAATTAACTACTTCAAGTTTAAGATCTCAACACATGATATCTGAATCTAGTTGTTACTGACAACTGCATTCATTGGATGTGTCAGTTTCAATGTACATTTTTCCACGTGATAAACGTTTATCATGCAATAATAATAATATTATCCTTTTCCAACCCAAAGAGAACTGTTTGGTATGAATGAATTTGTTTTATTTTTACATTCTAAGAAGAGCTATTTAATTTCAACAAGTCAATTATTGTTTTTTGTTGTTATATATGTTGCTTTTTTTAGTGGTGGCGAAGCATCTTTAACATTTAGTTAGTGTGATGAAGATCATACCGTTGATTCTTTTATAAGATTATGCTAAAAAAATATTTTTTTTACTATACCATTGATTTATTGTTTGCTTTTAAGAAAAGCATTATGTGTTTAATTAATTAATTGACAATTAAATTGATTATTTGTTTATTACTAACTAATTGACAATTGGATTGATTATTTGTTTATTACTAAAATGTTTCGATCATGCCTATACATTTATCGTATATCTTATCTAACACTTACTTCAATCAAGCCTGCCTGTATAATTATCGAATAATTGATAAAACGTTCATTAAATATATTTTACAAACAGCTTCATAGATCTTGATTTTAACACTTACTTTGATCAAACACGCCAAAATTTTTATTGAATAATTGATAAACATCATTTTGCAAACTTCATAGATCTTGACTAACACTTATTTCGTCTATATAATTATTGAATAATTGATAAAACGTTCATTAAATATATTTGCAAACAGCTTCATAGATCTTGACTATAACACTTGCTTTGATCAATCCTACTTATATGATTATTGAATAATTGATAAAGCGTTTATTAAATATATTTTACAAACAGCTTCATAGATCTTGACTTTAACACTTGCTTTGACCAAAGCCGTCTATATAATCATTGAATAATAAAACGTTCATTTTGGAAAACTTGATTTGCAAATGGATCTTGACTTTGGCACTTATTTTGATCAAACCCGTCTATATGGTTATTTAATAATTGATAAAGCATTCATTAAATAAATTTTAGAAACAGCTTCATAGATCTTGTCTATTGAATCATTGATAATAATAAAGCGTTCATTGGATATATTTTACAAACAGCTCCATAGATCTCGACTTTAACGCTTACCTCGATCGTGCCTATACAAACTATTGAATAATTGATAAACATTCATCAGTATATTTTACATACTTGCTTTGGAAGCTTCGTACGTCGTCATACATCTTGTATTTAATAGCTACTTCCACAAACTTGCAATCTATATTCAACTCTACTTTTCCTATTGAATTTTTTATTTTCATTGTTTTTTCTTAGATTACACAATAAAAATTATGAAATAGAATTTATCTAATGAAATATTGTAAACTGTACATATCCAATATTTTGCACAACTTGAAAAAAGTTGGTATATAAGGCTCATTTTTCCATTACTAGTACCCGTCCCGGGGTAAACCATGCAATGGCGAATCCATGTGACTCACTTAAAATGTGTTATTAAAGCCCAGCAAGTGAGATAGTGGAACTCTTACTGTTGGCTCATGCTGGGTGTATTGACCCTTCGTAACATGACCTCTCTCTTTTGTTAAATTTTATTATTTAAAAGAAGGAAAAATATTTATTAAACAATAATATTACATATTAGTAGCAAATGATGACAACGAATTATCATTCTTTGGGGATGATAATAAAGATTAAAAATCTGATTTTGTTCCATGAAAATATTCAAGTCTTTCAAAAAAAAACGTTGGGACGACTGTCCTATTTATATGTTTTGAATTTAATAATACAAACTGTTGTCTTGGCCTGAGTGATGTCATTTTACGGCAAAGAAGATGCAATCCAAATCCAACTTAACTTTGATGTTGACGTTAAAGCTCCGAATGAGCCGAGCCGGCTCGAGTCTGACGCTACATAAATTTTTTTAAGTAACGGATGATTAATTTTAATGCTTTTTTATGCACATTGCCTAAAAACAATTTAAGAGCTATTTTCTTGAACTCAGCTCTAACTTGAAAATTCAAGTTTTAACTCGAGTCTGCTCAACTTAATGAATAAAGCGAATAAACAAATGATTTGAATGATTCGAATAAATGAATAAAACGAATGATTAGAATAAACGAATAAAACGAATGATTCGAATAATTCGAATATTAATATACAAAAGGAACAAAACGAATAAACCAAAACGAATAATTCGAATAAAATAAAAACGAATAATTCGGATAATTGGAATAAACGAACAAGTGAATAAAATAATTTGAATAAACTAATAAAACTAATAATTCAAAAATAATTCGAATGAGGATTTGTATTATAGGAATTCTAGCTCAATTCAATAATAACAAAGATTTTTTAAACGGATTGTATTTCGTTTTAATACTCTGCAAATATCTGAGCAAACATTGTGAAATGTTTCAACGAATTATCTGTTATAATTAAATTCGCGTTATTGTGAATTTTTAAAAACATAAAATTCATTGATTAGTAATTTTAGTGTAATGCAATTCTCTTATGCATATATTCCAAAACATTGTCTCATTTGAAATTTCGGAATTTTTTAGTCAGTCATAAAATTATTTATGATGATTCAAATGTTCTGAAGTTATACAAATTATAGTTTATTATTGCTGCAATTACTTTCGGTGGTCTGCAAAATCGTGATTTTATAAAAAAATAATATTAAATTTCGAGTTGGCTTGAGCTAAACATAAACTCGGGCTTGAATTGGCTCGTTCAGAGCTTTAGTTGACGTGATGTTAAAATAAATAATAAAAAAAGCGTTCTCGGTTGTAAGCTTGTTAATAGTATTTATTTGCAAATCAAAAATTATTATTAGCCTTCAACAAAGGGTCTAATTTTTTTTTGTTTCGTATTCCTTTAATATTATAGATGCTTAATTTTACCCAATTGCTTCTCTTGTCATAACTTTCACATCCCTAATCTTGCGGGATATTAAAATCTTCTTTTTAACAGATTATTTGGAACCTTAGTATTAGGAATTTGGTTATTGAATTTCTCCTACAGTAAAAAATATTGAATATAGTATAATGTGAATATGCTAGATTGGTATAAAAACAAAAAAATAAATAAATCCAAACGTAAAATTTCATAACCAACAAAATCTTTTACATATAGTGAACCATTGATGCATTTCCGGATTGAAAGTCCATTTTTCCTTGTTTCATTCTGTTAAATGAATCTTTAAAATATTTAATTTTGAATTCAGTCAAAACATTATATTATCCATCCTCATCTTTCAAAATCACAATCATGTGGGACACAACTATACAATCAACATTTCAAAAATGAAATGTAGTATTGTTCATTTTGAATTTAACATTTGACTTTGAGATATTTTGACTTATGACATCAGGAAAATTATGTATTATATTAATTATTCAGTTATAAAAATGTGTAATTCTGAATTGGAAAGAAATTAGTCAAATTTATTTTTGAAAATAATAATAAAAACAAAACAAATTAAATAGTAAATGCAAAAGATAATTAATAAATGAAGAAAATAATTAATTATCTACCCATCAATAATTCACCCAATTCTTCTACTTTAATCTATCAACTACTTATTATTGCTATTATCATTATGATTAATTAATAAATAATCATGTTTAAATTAATAGATTTAAATTAATTAACCAAAAGTAGTTAGGGTTTTGCATGAATAATAACACAAGGATTACAGTAAAACATGTCAACATTTTCCTTATGGATGATGCAATATAACACAACATAATTAATCATATTCTTATACAAGATAATCCTACACATATTTATTTTCTTTTTCTTAAACTATAAAGATTTATATACATGGACAATAATTAAAAATGCCCACATAAATGCTTTTCTTTAGTGAATTGGCATCACCTAATTCATTTGGGAAAAAACTAATTAATAAAACTAATTAATAAAGAAATAAATTTATCCCTGGAATTTTTCTAATAACATAAAATTTAATGAATACTAATTAGCAATGATGATGGTAATAAGATCAAGAAATTATCGCCCAATTAATCTAAATACTAATACTATTATTATCTGTCAACTTTTTTCTGATGTGATGCCTCGCGATAGTAAAAAAATACTTTAATTTTATGTTATTGTTATAACAATCAAGTTGATCAACTTGATATTGCAATATCATCATTTTTTTGAAATGATCAATTTGACCTGCTGAAAATCTGAATTATATATATATATATATGTAACTTCTCAAGTAATAGTATTTAAACAAATCATTCCAAAAATAAAGTATAATATATAGGCGTAATTTTAATTAAATAAATTAAATAATTAAAAAAATACAATAAAAATATAGTCATGATAACTTAATTATGATAATATATTCATTTAATTTATTAATTAATTTGTGACATTTCATTAAAATCTCATTAATCTCCTGGTTCCTAACTAAACTTTAAAATCCCAAATTCTAATTTCTTTGTCATCACTGCCACTAATAATTTTCGTGTCGCTCAATGCGACACATGTCACTGGTTGGCTATGTCCTTCCAGGGTGTGTAAATCATATCCAGTATCCTTATCCCAAATCTTCACCAAATTATCTTGTGAACCACTCACTAACCTCAATCTATCTAATGCTAGAGTCCAAACACCTTCAAGATGACCAAATAACGTTTTACAACATTTTCCCGTTTGAAAACACCAGATTTTTATTGTATTGTCGAGCGAACCCGACACAATAATAGGTAAATCTTCGTTTTCATGAACTCCTCCGTCGCATCTTTGTACATCAATGCTATCACCGTCGTCATCATTATTATTACTACCATCATTATTATTGCTTTCTTGATGAACTGAAGAAAACATTTTTGAAAACATCGATAGGGAGGCAAATTCTATCGACGGTACTTGTAATCTATGCCCCGTAAATACTCGCACACAAGATTTTGTTGGTAAATCCCATACTCTTATCGTACAGTCATCTGACGAAGATAAGACTTGTGACTGTTTGTAAATTATAACACAGTTTACACGATCCGTGTGGCCTCTCAGGGCATACTGTTCGCATGATGTAAAATCCCAGACCCTAACCGTCCAATCGGCTGATCCACTAGCAAGTATCCGTTCATTGAAATGTATAGAATTAACTCCATCCGCGTGTCCACAAAACGTCCTGATACACTGCCCCGTCTTATAATTCCATAATTTTATCGTATGGTCCAAAGAGCCTGTTATAAGCTTGACATCATCGAATTGTAGTGTTTTGACACAATTCAGATGTCCTGTGAGTATACGCACAGTTTCTCCTTTTTCAATATCCCATATTCTAACAGTTGCGTCATAAGACCCACTAATTAGAATATTCTTCTCATCGTTGAACTGTAGGCAGGTTACCCCGTCTCGATGTCCTTTCAACACACGGGCATTATACATACCTTTTCGCCAGTTTCTTTCAACGGCAAGACGCTCTGAATAGATTTCTTTCCAGGGTTTAGTGGTTATTACTTGACAATTATTATTGTTATTATTATTATTATCATCATCTGAATATAACAGCGCAGACCTAAGTGATGCTGTGCACAAACGTTTTGTGTCTCTTTTTATACTATCTGATGTTGATGTTGATGTTGATGTTGATGTTGATGTAAGTGGAACAGAAGAGCATGATGTCATTACTAAGTTATTATTATTATTGTTATCGTCATCTAAAATATTTAAATGACGAGTAGATGATGATGGTGGTGATGATGGCGATGATGGCGATGAAGGTGATGGTGATGGTGACGGTGATGGATTTTGAAGGATTCTTCTTCTATTCATATGTTTTCTTTTTTCCAATAAAGGAAGTCCCCAACCACATTTATAACATTTTTTATCAATGTGTTGTTCACATAATTTATGCCACACCTGATCATCATCAGCTAATAATTTCCATGGTTTGGAAACTTGAGCTGCATGACACAGCGAGGTTGCATCCAAATAAGAAAGAATATGAAGTGAGAGTTCCTCTGGAAGGTGGGCAATAAAATCTATTCGATTCAAATCCTCTAATCTATTTGAAAGAAATGATAATTGTGTTGAGCAGCATTGGTGCAATAAACCTTCTAAAGCAATATTTCGACTTTTTAAAGAAAGTTTAGAAAATAATGATAATATTTGTTCAATTGTTTGTTTTTCTTCTGTTGGCATCTTATTATATAATTAAAAATACAACAATAATTGATTTTTTGTATATATAAAATAATATAAAATAAATTTTTTAAAGACAAATAATTAATTACCTGTTGTAAATTCTCAAGCATGGTAGATTCATTAGAATTCATAGAATTTCTCTTTAGATCTAATTTATGTCGATAACAATAATACCTTTCATTAGTATTAATATTATTGTTGTCATTTTTTTGTGAAGTATGTAAATGTGAAGAAGACATTATTTTTATTTTATTTTTTTGTAAGCAAAATTACTAAAATAGCGAGCGAATTCATATTGTTAATAATGGTGTGTAACGGATCTCTTTATCCCTTAATATTAAGGGTAGAGTTCTGTTACACAGTATATCATATAGAAATGTCTAATTCTTGTTTCAACAGAGTGGCTAGACACATAAGCACATAAGAAAATTTCATTACTAATTGTACCAGAATTTTATATGTTAAAGCAAGAATTTAATTATAATCCATTGAAACAAAGGTAAACATTGTGGCTACAAGGTCTAAAATAAAATAAAAATTTCTCGCACATTATCTACTTTGTTATTCAAGTTACATACAGAAAAACTTGATCATAGTATAATATCTTTTTTAAATTATATATATCTGATATATTAAAAAAAAATGTATTAAATTTCGAGTTCAAGTTGATTCATTCTTACTTATTATCATTGACTTTTATTAAATAAATAAAACCCTTTTTTCTAAAACATAATAATATTTTGATTGCATTATAATCAGTTTGTCAACCAATTTTGGGGTCCTTTTTTCCATTAGGATTAAATTCAAAATATAGTTTAATGTTCTTTTAATTTCACATCAAGCAAACAAAAGAAATCAATTAATTTTTTATCTTGTATGATCAGCAAGATTTGTAGTATAACATTTGATTGACCATTCATTTCCCCATTTTACAATTCAAAATTTTTTTTTGAAAATGGACTCAACAATACTAGGAAAATATTTAATGAAAATGAAAGGTTATTAAATACAGAGGATTTTTATTATGTAAAATATATGTAAGTATAGAACCAAACATAAAAGAAATCCATGTACTTACATCCATAATATGTACTCATTGTCCATTTTTTAGCATTGCATTAAGTAATGCAACAAAAGAAAATGGTTATTATATTGTTAAAAAAAACCAATATTAATGAGCAACCTTTCAAAAATATTCTAAAGCTTATACTAAATTATTATATTAATTTATTTATTGAATATATAATAATAATTATTTACTTTTAAAAGATTTTTGTATACATGTAAGATTGAATTAGATGAACTTACTGGAGTTGATGTATTAGAAATATTAATTGCAGCTGATGAATTTGGACTTGAATCACTTTATGAATATACAATGAATTATTTTATTAAAGAACATGAAGATTATATAAAAGAAAATCCAGTTAAAATTCTACAATTGATTTATTCTTATGAAAAATTTAAGGAATTGAAAATATCTATCTAAAAAATTTTTTTCAATCAAGTGAATTTGAGTCATTGGAAAAACCAATTTTATTGGAAATTCTCAAAGGAGATGATTTTTCTATTAATGGAATAATTATTTGGGAAAATATTCTTAATGACCTTAAAAATTGGTCATCACAAAATTTTGTTGATTTAAGCAACACAATAAAGGAGTTTATTCTTTAATAAGATTTCAGGATATTTCTGATGAGGAATTTTTCAATAAAATTGTGCCCTATCAGAAACTTTTTACTGATTTTTTCTGGAACAACCTATTACAAAATTATTTAGTTCCTAATAGTCAACAAGCATTAAAAATTTTACCATCAAGACATTATAAAACTTATTCCAAAGTCTGGATCAATGACAATTAATGAAAAGCTTGCTTTGCCTTTTGCAAGTTGGATAGATAGAAAAAGCTCACCATACAGTTCACACAAAGAAGTTAAATATGAATTTAAACTTTTATATTGCAGTAGTAGAGATGGTTTAGATCATACAGTATTTCATCAAAAATGTGACAATTTCAACAAAACTCTTGTAGTTGGCAAAATACAAAATTCAGATCAAATAATTGGTGGTTATAATCCATTTAATTGGAATGGAAATGTAATAAATGCCTATAAATCAACAATTGGAAGTTTTATATTTAATATAAGTGATAGAAATGATATTAATGCTAGCTATATTAATTATTTATACATATGCAATTCTTTGTGGTCATCATTGTTTACCTATTTTTGGTGTTAATGATATTTGTTTTTATATAGATGGTGGTGTTTATAGTAATATAAATAGTTATAATAACATCAATATACATGGTAGCAAATTTGGTGAATTAGAAATTTTTCAAAAAATAAAATAAAATTTACTATTACTATTGTACTTCTTAATACATGTATTATTCAATTTAAATAAAGATATACAGTGCGTTTTAAAAAATTTTTTTGCATATCTCAACAACAGGAGGGAACGTCCTATATAAGGAATGGATTTTCACAATTGATTTCAATTTTTTTTATACAGTTTAAAAT